AGTGACACTTGCGTCCCCCCCCCCCCCCACGTGCAATCGTTGGCCACACAGCCTCAGTGTTTGGTGTCACCATGGAAGGTGCGGAGGAGGAGGTGACATGTTTCTGTCCTTCCATAAACACTCTGTTGTGCCCCCAGTCTGTTCCAGTACTGGTAGCTAAGAAGTGCTGGGAGGGGGGTTCTGGAGACACAAGACCGGCCTTTCGGGTTTTGTTTCTGTTCACTTAGAAAGTGACACCCGCATAGACCCTGGAGCTACAGAGCTGACCCAAACCTGCTCACTCTGTTCAAGACTTGTTGCTGATATAAAAAAATAAAGCCTCCGGAGCTCCAAACGTTACACTGTATCTAAAGACAAAGATCCCTTCGTGTGGTGGCTGCATTAGTTTTCTTTTTTCAGGTTTTATTTCTATTATTCCCACCTAGTGATCCTGCCAGTAACACACTTCCTGTCCTCGGGTGACAACTCTCACTCACTGTACATCTATGAAGGGAATCTTGGTTGGATTTCAAACATGGTTCATCTTCACTACTTGGGTGGTGATAGGAGTATTAGTTCATGCAAAAAAAAAAAAGGAAGAATAGTTTGTGCTTTGTTCTCAGCTCACATGAAGTGACATGGAAATGGCATTTCTGGCAGGACCAACAGGCATTTTGTGTGCTTGCCGATAGGCGATGTGGGGGGGGGGGGGTCTCACCAGGGCTGTGCGAGTCTCAGGAGGCTGTGCGAAGTCTCACCAGGGTCGTGCAGGGTCTCAGGAGGCTGTTCGGGTGCTGATACTGGGCATTTTCATGAGTACTTGTGAAAATGCCCCGATACTAAACACCGATACCGGCGCTTTAAATTTTTAAAAGGAAGCGGCTGCTTGAGGTCCCGCAGTTGCTGGGGACTTTGGCAGCCTTCCTGTGAACCGCAGTGCCAGTTTACAGCCCTTGCCACACATCTCCTCCTCCTTACCAGGGAACCCCGCAGTGCTGCTTACAATGCTTCCACTGCCTGCATCCGTCCGCCAGATCCTCTGGACCCCTAGTGAGACTCCCGCACATCTTCCTGAGACCCCCCAAAGCCCTAGTGAGACCCCTGAACAACCTCCTGAGACCCTGCACAACCCTTGTGAGACCCTGCACAGCCTCCTGAGACCCTACATAGCCCTAGTGAGACCCTGCACAGCCCTGGTGAGACCCCGCACAGCCTTGGTGAAACACCACACAGCCCTGATGAGACACAACAAAGCCTCCTGAGACCCCGCACAGCCCTGGTGAAACCCCGCACAGCCTCCTGAGACCCTACACAGCCCTGGTGAAACCCCGCACAGCCTCCTGAGACCCTACACAGCCCTATTGAGACCCTGCACAGCCCTGGTGAAACCCTGCACAGTCTGTCACATTCTGTAGATGCCGGGTGATATGCTCCTCTGTTGCACACAGAGGCACCCATCTTTTTGACCAGTCTCTGCGTATAGGTGCCGGGTGACATGCTCTTCTGTTGCACACAGAGGCACCCACCTTTTTCCTAGTTTCTGGGTATACTGTATATGCCGGGTGACACGCTCCTCTGTTGCAGACAGAGGCACCCATCTTTATGACCAGTCTCTGGGTGTAGATCCCGGGTGACATGCTCCTCTGTTGCACACAGAGGCACCCATCTTTTTGCTACTTTCTGGGTATGAATGCTCATAATCTAATGAAGATGGAAGTGCGGCAAAATGAATGTTAATATTGTACAAATAATCCAATCATAGAGCATAGTTACTCACTGTAGACGTCTGATGTCTGCTAAATAATTCAGCAATAGCCCTGCACAGCTGACACGGCCTCTCCTGTCTTCCTTCTAGGTGCCAAACTGTGGACCAAGATGACACAACCCGCATTCACCACCCATAATCTTTTGGACAGCCCTCCGGTCACCTAAAGCAAATGCACCTAAACCACAATGCTGCTGACATCACAGAAGACTCACGATAATGAACTCTGTGAGGTAAGACCCGTGACTGGCTTCTTCGGAGCATATGAGGTTATATATTAAAGCTGATGTTTAATAAGCTTATAGTTTGCCTTCCCTGCCCCCCCCCCCCCCCCTACTCCCCCAAGAGGCTTATTACAG